GCAGTGATATTCAGAGGTGGGGCTTTTGAGAAAAAATTGGATCATTAGCACTCTAGTGTCATCAATAGATTAATCCATTGATGGATTCATAACTGAATGGGTTATGGGATGTTGTAGAAATTATAGGAGGTAGGATTCTACTTGAAGGGAGTGTATCATTGGGGGTATGTTCTGGGGGACTCTATCTCTTCCTGACCCCTCACCCGCTTTTCTCTCTCTCACCCTTCCTGGCTGCCATGAGGTGAGCAACTTTGCTATGCAATGCCCTCCCTGCCATGATGGTCTGCCTCACCACAGGCCCAGAATCAACAGAGCCAAGTGTCTATGAACTGAAACCTGTGAAACAAGTCAAAATAAACCTCTCCTCCTTTAATTTGTTTTTCTTGTTTTTTTTTTTTTTCATAGCAATGGAAAACTGACTAACACACTTCTGGAGAAAATATTAGAGGTGTCACAGGTACCCTTCTAAAAAAGCTAAAGAACTATATAGGGTGTGTTCACACCATTCAACCTGTCCACATTTTTGGAAGATTATTAAGGTTATCATCAATGCAAATATCAAAAAGTTCACTCTGATTGCAGTTAATCTGAATAAATTAACATATTAGGAGATATTTCCCAGGCTTGATTATTTACTCAAAAGAGGTTGAAAGATAACTGAACTAGTTCCCCTGTTGGATGCATTTCAGTGGATTTATAAAAGTGAGCATTTAAAAAGCGAATGCTTTCATAGGCTTTAAATGATGGTAGGAACTACTGAGTTGGGATCATGACAATTTCTGCTCTTACAAATACACACACCATGTGTACCACACATAAAAGTGCTGTGAATGCAACACATAAAAGAAAGTAATTAAAATGGTAAAATGTGGTTTGTTAAAGAGAATCACATCAAATTTCATTCCAGACACAAATGAGCTCTTAAAATGAAAACCAACACAGCAACTGCTCTTTACTCTTTCTTCTATCAGACCAATTTGTTCACTTCAAATAGGGTGCTGATTAGTAGCAATCAACATAATTAGCCAAAAATGAAGGTCACATTGAGGTTGGGTATCCTAATTGATCTCAGTCTGTCCTTGAAATGCCTGTGGCACATGTCTGGACCATGCTGGCAGTTATCAAAAACTTAATGCATAAAAATATGGCTCAGATCAGTACCATGGCCTGGCAAACTAAGTGCAGGGCTGCATTATCAGCATCTAAAACACATCCTGATTCAACTCTGATTCTCTGTATACCACAAAGGGCACTTCAAATGTAGTTCTTTGCCCCTATTTTTATATCTCTAATTCATATATGCTAAACACTCTAAATAAATTAGAATGTGGTCATTGGGAGGGTGCATTGCAATGGAGATTAAAACACTATATTTGTTATGAAGAAAAGATGATTTAGTAAATAGTTTATGAAAAATAATAAATAAGCATAATGTGTACTATTTTTTTGTTTTGTCATATTAATGACAGATATGTATAATATGGTAGAAAAATCTTTAACAGAAAGTAGGAAGATATTAATTCACTCATTTATTAATTTATTCATTCCATAAATATTGACTTGTCACCTATGTTGAGACTGTTCCAGGTTTTGGGGAGTCAGAAGTGAACAAAACAAATGAGAACTTTGCTCTCAAGCAGTTTGCCTTCTAGTAGGGAGAGATGTATAACAAATAAAAAATAAGCAAATGTTTGTTATAAGATAGGACTAAATGCTATGGGAAAAAGGATAGAAAAGAGGTTAGATGGGAAGGGATGGCTGGGTGAGATTCCAAACTTAAATAAGTAGGTCTTTCTAAGAAAGTACCATTTGCTTTGCATTTGTAACATTTGACATGAATCAAGCCTTATAGACTGGAGGAAGAGGATGGGAGGGAATGGAAATGGTAAAATCAAAGGCTCAGAGGCAGAAGCTTTCCTGGGTCCTTTAAAGAACAACAGATGGTCAGTGTGACCTGAGTGTGGGGAGCAAAAGGAGTATCAGAGATGTGTGCTCAGAGAATTGGTCAGACCAACAAGGATACATAGAAGTTATTGGAGCATTTAGGCGAAGAAGAGAAATCATCTTACTTACATTTGAACAGTCCACATTGGCTGCTGGTTTGGAAAGAGACTAAAGAAGAGCAGGTCCACACAAGGACAGAGTCAGAAAGACCACTCGGGAGATCACTCAACTGATTTAGAAAAGAGATGATGGTTCCCTGAGAAAGGGAAGAGGTGGTGGCAAGTAGTTTTGTCCAGAGTAGATTGAGAAGGATGACCAAAGGAATTAACAGACAGTTCAAGCATGGGTATGTGAGAGAGGTATCAAGGATGATTCCATGGAGTTCGGTACTAATGTTAACTGAAAGAGAAAAGACTTTTGAGGGTAGGGAAGAAATTTAGGGATGAAGTCAGAGATTAGTAATTCAGTTTTAGACACTTAAAATTTTGTCAACTAACTATACCTGTAAAGACACTACACAGATGGTTGAATATAATTTTTCAGATACAAATTAGAAAGGGAAGCGTAGAAGGTGGTGTTAATTCCATGATACTAGATGAGATCACCAAGAGTAAATGCAAAATTAGAAGAGGAAGTTTGATAAGGAAAGAAACTCCAATGTTTAGGAGATGTCAGAAAGATGAAGAGAAAACAGTAAAGGAGACTGATAGGAAGCAACCACAGAGCTGAGAGAAAATACAGAAGAATCTGTGCCCCCACCCCAAATAAAATGAAGACGGTATTGTATTGAAGAGAGATTAAACACTGCTGCCAGACCAAGTAAATGTGGATTGAGAAATGACTCTTGGTCTAATAATAGGTACATCAATAGGTATAATTTGCAAATTACGAATTGAAGTAGGGATAAAACCCAGGATGAGACTGAAAGAAAAGGATTTAGATCCCCGAATATAGACCATCTTTTGAAAAAAAAGAAAAAAGAGGCACAGAAATGTGGAGCAGTAGCTAAGGAGGTATATGTGATCAAAAAGATTCTTTTAAGATGTAAGGAAGAGCAACATGGTTGGATATTGATGGGGAATGATTTAGTAGAGAAGGGAAAATGATAATGAATAAAAACAGGATATTTCTGAAGTGAGATGATCCAGGATGCGAGACAGGATGAGATCTCATGCACAAAAGGAGGGGCTGTCACAAGAAGCACAGGCAGTTTCTCCCACAGAGAAGAAAAGGAAGGATGAGTATATGATATGAATGAAGGCACATAGGCAAGTGGAGGTCAGAGCAGAACTCTTTCAAACTGTCTCCTGAATGTCTGTACTTTCTCATCAAAGCAGGAAGCAAAATCAGGCATGGAGGCTGGGAAGGTTTTGAGGTTTGAGGTAAGAGAGAAAGGTATGAAATTGTTTTCTAGGGAAGTAAGCTAATGAACAGACAGGGGTCTAGAACATGGTTGTGGAACAGCAGTAAAGACCCACTTGAGGTTAGGCCCTAAATTTAAAGTATTGTTGTGATCTTTTCCAAGATCGTGCATAGGAATAGGCAGAAAATGACATTTAACCAGAAATGAGATTTACTACATTGAAGTGAGAGAGGGCAAAGGAATTGAGAGTATGTATAAAGTTGCAACTTTTAATAAGGGGTGGAGGAATCTAAGTCAGGTAGAGAGGGAGATGAAAAATCAGGGAAATGAGGCACACTTTGAAGGGGAGGGGGTAAGGATCAGTGGTTTGTACTTCCCAGTGAGGAAGAAGAATCACTAAAGTGGGAATATTATAAATTGAGAGGACCAGACAGTAGGATACTTGAAATTGAGATTGTAAAGAGTGGTAATTATTGTTACTGACAAGGTCAAATATTTGACCTTGACCTTGGGGGCTTAAATAGAGGTGGTCACAGAACTAAGATACCAAAATCCTAAGTGACGGAAATAAAATTTCAAAAATTTTTAAGGGAGATGAGTAAGCAAAGAAAGTGGATCTATAAACTAGCTCTAGGAAAGATCTTTGGGTACTATTACTGGCACATGAAAGCAAGAAAAAGCATGTCTGTCAGAAGTCTACTAAGCTTTGAGACTGATGAAATGCCAAATAAATTATAAGCTAGCTTAGAAAAGCCTGCATCTGTCGAAATGTTCTTTGAGGCACTAAACATACACAACAGAAGTTGAGCTTCAAAGCTATATGACTGTCTGGAGGGCTTTGTCTCTGGTGCTCAGCAATGGTGGGGCATGGAGCTAATGGACAGGAAATAGCCTCCCTGGTGGCTCAGCAAAAGACCATATAAGGAATGGATGAGGAGGAGCCTCTCATGGAGCATAATTCAGGTCAGAGAAAGGACTGCTTTCCATCATCTTGCACCAGAGACTATTGTGTGTTTATCACTTCTCCCTTTCTGAATAGGAGTTTATATTCTGATTTTCCTACACATTCCCCATTGTACATTTAGTGTCAAGATCTGATGGAGAGAACCATCCATCACTCCTAGAACCTGGAATGCCAGGACTTTAAGTAAAGAAAGCACTTGGGACTTTGGATTCTTCTTTCAGAAGAAGAAAGGTATTCTGGGAGCCAGAGGAGTAGACTATAGAAGACACAATCAACTGTCCATTGAGGTTTGTGACTCTTGTTCCATGGAATAGGAGAGGCCATTCATTTCTGAACTACCATTGCTTGATTCCTTCCCTCTTGCATCTAGGGATGACCATACCTAATTTATCTCTACGGCATATGAGTAAAATTGCAATGTGTAACTCTTCTGATCCATGGCTTCTTAAAATGGGGTCGTTAGCGGGGCATGGTGGCACACATCTGTAATCCCAGCTGCTCAGGAGGCTGAGTCAGGAGGATTGCAAGTTCAAAGCCAGCCTTAACAACTTACAAGGTCCTATGCAACTTAGTAGACTCTGTCTCAAAATAATAATAATAAAAAAAATGGGCTGGGTGTGTGGCTCAGTGTTTAAGCCCCTCTAGGTTTAATCTCTGTTAAAAAAGAAAAAGTGAAAAACAAGAGCAGGGGTGCTTTATTCATTCTTACTGTCTCCTTCTGGAAGCTGGATACAGGTGATGAAGAGGACTTAAAGGATGGCAAAGTCATTGGACAGCAGGAGCTTGGAGGAGAGTAGTCCACTGACCACAGACACCTGCCTTGTGCTCTTATGTGGTCAAAGGAGGACATTATGGTGTTAAGTCACTGAAAAACTAGTTAGTTATAGAAGCTAGCTCACTCTTCCTAATATGATAATGGTCATGAGAAAAATATATCCACTTTAAATGTAAAAATAGGTGGTTGGATAAGATAATCATTAGGATTCCTTAGTGATTCTAAATTTTAAATCTCTGTTTAGTTTTGGTTTTCTATGAACAAACATGAGATCTTACTTATGTTTTCCCACCCCACATACACAGAACTCAAATGCAATCTCTGAATTATCTCATCCAAAAACGCTCAGAATTTCTAACACCTCCAGTGAGTCATCTTTTCCCTTACCTGTGTGGTAGGGCACTGTAGGCCGAACAGAATAGAAGGCTTGGCACATCTTAACAGGTTAAAGTAAAACAAAATGGTCTTGTTCCTGTTAACAAAAAGAAAACAGCGTAATATAATCTTTTTAATAACCAAGGGAATGTTCCATAACATTTCAGATCCCAATACTTTTAACATGTGACCTTTTAAAATTGGCTTCATTTTCTCTAGACAATTGAAATGTATCTTCAAACTCCCCTTTAAGTTACTTAATAATTGAAGCATTTTTTTTTGTAATTGTAAAACATTGAAATGATTAAATTGTCCATCAGCAAAGGATTGGTTAGATCTAAAACTGTACCTTCATTAAGAGGAATATTACATTGCCATTGAAATTAATGTTGAAGGACATAATGAATGGAAAAATTCACAATACATTAATTTTAAGAAGCAGCTTACTAAAGAGTATTAAAATATGATTTGATTTCAATTTTGTAAAAAGAGACTTGACAAATTATATTCGGGGGAAAAATTATTTTATCTAAATATTGAAACCATATTTCTTGAGTTATTTTTTGTGCCGTTATGTGTTTCTTAGCTAAAAGAAACACGTATTACTTTGGTAATCCCAACAAAGATACAGTGCTATTTTTCTCTCTGTTTAAAATTATAGTCAGTGGCAGCTAATTAATCACTATCTTTGTGTGGACTATTACTCTGCCATT